ATACAATGTTCTAGCCTTGTGTAGGAACCTGGACTCAGTTTAAACTCTGGAATTTTTATGAAAAATAAAGCAAAAGGCTTCCCAGAGATTTTTTTTTTGCCCTGAAAAGGGGATTTCTTGGGTTAGCACTGAATCTGCAGGAAAATGTCCTCATCACCTGGGGCTGCGATGTCCGGAGCTTCAGTGCACCTTCTTAAGTGGTTTCCAGGTGGGACTGGGTCAAAGGCAGTGACTACTGGCACCAAGTCCTGGGACTTGGACTAAAACCAGCCACGGGTGCCTGGCCCCTTCTCACTGCAGGGGAAGCTTACCTGAATAAGGCTCAGTCCACAGAGTCCTCAGACCTGGCTCTGATATCGTGGCAGTTCTACTGAGAGGCAAGTTCGCAGTTTGAGCACGAACGCTCCTCTGGCTAGTAATGCTCTCCCCTGGCTGGATCTGTTACCATGTAGGTTTCCACTTCAATGCCACCTCTGTAGGAAGGTGTTCCCTGGCTTGCCATTCAAAAGTGTCTCTCTTCCTCCCAGCATGTCACATGAGAGCTTGTTTGGAGGTTCTTGCAGGGGAGCACAGCTACTTGTATACCCTTGACCGAAGACCGGTCCTCTCCTCTAGGGGGACGGTCATGCTCTGACCGGGCATGCAGCTTCAGGAGGGACACACAGGGATCGGTGAGAGAGGAGAGGGACATCTGCCTAGCCAGCCAGATCAGCTGAATCCTCCCTGGTGATCAATGGGATGACAGATGTCGCAGCCTGATCGCCCTCACATCCTCACATTGTTTTTTTCAATTTAATTTAATTTTTTGTTTCTGCACTTGTCTTCTTCAATTAATTGTTTACATATTTATTTCCCCCCATCACCACACTAGAGGCAGGTCCATGAGAAGCAGGCCCTTGTCTCTCTTGTTCATTACTGTATTTCCAGCCTCTAATATGTGCCTGGAATATAGTAGGTGCTCAATAAATGCCTCAACTAGAAATCCAAAGGCTTAGCATGATTTAGTACTAAAGAGAAAAGTGATAGATCTTTGTCTAGATTCTTCGCCCTATATCAACCAGCTCTAAAACATAGCCTGGCTACCAGTCGGCCTATGAGGAAGCCATGGGAATGGTTGAGGTAGGTCAACATCACTCTAGTAGGAAGAGATGAAATCTCTTTTAATTAGAATGTACTGACCCAATAAATATCAACCCAGATGAATATATTTTAGATGACTGAATGAAATATTCCCCATTTACCTGACTAAATAGATCATTACTACAGTCAGGTTAAAAAAAAAAACAACAAAAAAAACCCCAGGTTATGGCTTGGAAAAACACTTCCTATTTTTTAAAGAAAAAAGGAGTTGAGAATTTTATACTATAAATCATTCAGGCAGAAAACCACAGATTTGCCCATTTTATTTTGGTGAGAACAAAGCAGTTGTTTGCACATTCTTCATGTTGCACCTGCTCTGGCCTGCCCAGCATAAACACCTTAGCCAAAAAGTGTAAATTGGTTAAGCATAGCCTTCTGAACAACGAGAAAGACTAAGGACCATCCTTAATAATTGGCAGGAAGTGTTTGGGGCTAATCTAGCAAATTCAATAATAATTGTAAATGGGTAAGTTTAGAAAAGTATAGTGCCTTCCAAGAGGTCGCTAGTTTGATTCCCGGTCAGGGCACATGCCCAGGTTGTGGGCCTAATCCCCAGTGGGGGGCATGTAGGAGGCGGCCAATCCATGTTTTCTCTCATTGATGTTTCTATCTCTCTCTCCCTCTACCTTCCTCTCTCTCTAAAATCAATAAAGAAAAAAAAATTTTTTTTACATAAAAAAGAAAAGTATTGTGCCTTGTAAACGTTTCTGTGAAATATGGAGGCAAGGCATCAAGGCGAAACACAACAAAGTAATAAATAATAATTAGTCTTCCATTCACTGGTCTATTTATTAAAATGACAATAGTACAAAATACTTCCAACAGTCTTATTTGGCTTCCAAGCTCCTTGAATTGTGTTTAAAATTCTTTTAGGCAAGACCAAGAGCAACATAAATGAATAATGCCACACAAAAAATTATTAGGGAGGAAAATCTTCAAGATGACGCAACCATGCTTGAGTTAAAAACAAAAGGATCGGCATTTTTTAAAGAGGAAATCCACTGTTGAATCTATCAGGCTTTCATTTTTATGGTAAAACAATTCCATTGCATCTATCTAATCTTGTGATTAAGATTCAAAATGATTAATTTGTACCAGCCTATCAAAATAGAAGCATTAGAGTTGTATCTTTCTGAATAGCAAAAGTATATTCATTACAAATGCCTGGCTCATTATTTGCTCAAGAGTGAATGACAATTAGCTTGATCCTGTTGCAACTGTTAATGCTCCTGGTACTAAAATAAACAGGCAATACTGAATCAAGTTTCTGACATTTCCCTTCAGTTTACGATCTTCTGATTGATGCTATATTCAAAATGTACTTAGTCATTTCAGTCACAGGCAAGAAGGAAAATGGCTTCCGAACAACCAAAAAAAAAAAAAAGGTGTTGCAGGAAGGATATTTCATGGCAGCCCAAAGAACGAAATCACTATGAGACGAATCATGATCTAATATAATTGAGCCAAAAACTCTAAGCAAAATAAAAACACCACAACAATAGTAACAACAAACCTTTAGCCCGTCAGAGGTTGGATTTTACAGACAAGTGCTTTGGAATATGACAAGCTGCTAGAATACAGCAACTATCTGCACAAATGGTTCTGAATCTCAAGGTTCTTCATACATCGGAGCAAACCTCAGGGAGGTTTCAGGTTTGACAGCATCTATCTCCTAACACACCTACAAGGACATTTCCACAAAGGCTCAATGTGCAGTTATCGTTGGGGTGGGCTTGGCTTTGGGTCTTTCTCTACCGAGAGCTCCGAGGATACCAATGGAGGGATCAAGGAAAACAAGAGCATAAGCATTTTCCGATTCCCAGATTCTGAGATGCCTTTTGTTTCAGTGGCGCTGGTGAACTCGTGATAATGAAACGACACCTTTGTACACAAACCTTGACCAGCATTCTAGAGCATGTTACAAAGAAAACCTTAATTTTGAAAGTACTGAGCACAAAGAGGGGGTGGGGGGGGCTCTCACTGTGCAAGCTTTCTCTATATGTGTAGAAATATGGCTTAGTTTTTAAGGCTTGAAGACCGCATTCTAAAAATGTCTAAAATCAGTTCAGATTCTATATGAGGAAAAAGAATTGTAAATTTTTCATTAAACATTTGTTTCTTTTTTTAAGACAATCTTTTGCATATCTGTTACTGCATTTTTAAATAAGATTTGGTTACCAGGGAAACAGGTTCTGGCCCAGTGTTAATTTGAAACTGAAATATATTTGAGAAGTTAACCTCAAAGGAAGGAGCCCATGAAATTATTTTGAATAGTGCCGGAATTCGGTACTTGCAGAACCACAGCTGTATGGTCTGCAATGAACCATCCTAGGGACTGTGTTTCATTCATTGAAGCTCTTTTTCTTCTAACAGGGCCATCTACATTTAATCTTTCCCCCTTTAAAAATTGTAACTCTTCCTCTCCCTACGTAATAGATATATAAAAGTGTATTTATTCTTGCATATTATCTAAAATTAATTTTTAAGCATATAAGTTATTTTCATCTTTCATATAACACGTTTAAAGACCGCTTCTTAAAATTTAAATATTTTAAATGTTTCATATTAAGCTTGTTTGCGCTCTTTGAAATTATCTCCAGAAACCCATTTATTTTTAGTTTCAAGCTAAAATGGAGCTGAATCAACAGACTTTTCATAAAAATTCTTTTGTTGTCTAATGGCGCCACACCTATCATATATATGATTTTAAAAAAAGAAATCATCTCACTTTTATTGTAGTATCATTTTATAAGTTTATAAAAGCTATATATTTCTATGCTACCTGAATAGCCAATTTAAATGACCCCCCCCCAAAAAAAATTACAACTGTCTCACTTAATTTTTGTTTTACAAGTCATATTTTAATCCATCTAATATTCTTGCTGCATGGCTCAAATTCTATAAAACATGCAAATTTCAACCTACCTGTATGTATCACTTAGTGCAATGTTAGCATGACAAGACACTCAGCCATTTTTATGTGAAGCGATGGAGACCGATTTCTCCGTCTTCTTGCTCACAAGTTTTAGATGCAATTGTCACACACACACAAAATCATACGCAGAACAGCTTGGATGTACTGTGATCACGAGTACTGAATTTATCAACAGGAAAACAGGATTGAAAAAAGGAAGTTTCTCATCCACGGTTTCTCTGAGGCTGCAACCAAGGAGGTGGTGTGTTGAATATTTTCCCTTCCTCCTCTGAGAGTTCAAAGCCCGGAGCTGACCACTGCAAAGGCCACTGTCACATTTGCTGAAAATCAAACCACTGATACCAGCACTGAAAATACAAATTTGAGAACCAAGTTGTTTGCACACCATGGAGTGCATAAGAGTTAAAAATAGATCCCACCTTGCCTCCTACCTGCATAATAAACATGTAAGTTTCAAGTGTTTAATTTGATATTCACATTAATTAACAATACAACATACATTATTTAAAAGACAGCAAATGCAAGAAGAAAAGGGAGACACCATCTGGTAGCAGAGTTTTGTTGTTGTTTTGTTTTTAGGTTTTTTTTTTGGCTTTGTTAAAAAAAAAAAAGGTAAAATCCTATTTTGAATGTGATGAAAAGCAAACATCCAGAAGCAAATAAATCGGAACTGAAAGGTGATATTGAAATATCTAAGGCTGTAATGAGGCAAAAACAAGTCTTCACTACCAGATGATATGGCATACAGAGCATTTACATACTCACATCTGAAATACTAGGCAACGTGTAATGAATTCTATACACAGCATGCACACACAGCACCAGCACAGCTAATCCTGCCTGCCATCTTAGGCTCGCAGGAGCGAGATACGCACTGCATGCAGCACACGAGCACTGGGGAAGGAGGAGGCAAGGGACAGCTCACCTTAAATGCAGTATCTGATTAATGTTGGAAGTGACATTGCATATCAGCCTCAGAGTCCTGGTTCAACTGGGTAGGAGGGAACAAAGAAAAATGTCATCAACTGGTGATGCAAGATGAGCCCAATCACTAAACACTGTTTAGCCAACTCCAAATTCTGCAACCAGACAGTAGAAGGCATTTCATACACTTAAGCAGAGCTGCTGCACAATGACTGTGTCCTTCTGCTTCTGAGAATCAAACAATCCTTTCGCTAAGGAAGAAAATCAGCTGGAACGAATACTGTCATGCCATCTTCTTGAAGAAAGCTTTCAATACAGTATGTATCTGGTTTGGGATGCATTTTGTGGACTGTTAATTTCATAGAATTGCTAATAACAACAACAACAAAACAAAAACTGTTAAGCTATGGCAATGTAAAAAAATATTATAAAAGGTGTAGCATTTCTAGATTATTTTTAAAAATCCTAAACGCTGCCGGCAGGCTTGTAGAAGAATGCATGATCAGCTGTCTGTATCAGTGCTATAACCTCTAACCACAAGCGTGTAAATGTATCCTGCTAAATGTATCTGCAGTACAGAACGGCAGATACCTCCTTCGCTGAAATGGTATTCTAATATGAATAAATTTGCTTAAACTGAGAAGCAGAATACAATCAGGACAGAAAAATAAATTGATGCTGAGTTCCTTTGGGTAGACCTGACCAACACGACCGATAAAAGCTATCCTTAGGATACTGACCTAAATAATGTTGACTTGCAGCAGCCCACTGTACTTGCTCAGAACATAGGATGTGCAAAAGGATTTTTCTCCTCCCTCCCCCTCCAAAAGCTAAATTGTAAAGTAACAAGCCATTAACAGAAATCCAAAGGCTATATTTATAGAGAGGCAGCGTACATACTGTAAGAGAAGAAATGGTGTTGTGCTGAGATGCAATGTTTCTTTGTTTTACTTTGAGGCTTATCTTAGCTACGCTTGCATTGCACGATGACATTGACATCATGGAGGTCAGGGCTGACACGGGGGTGCTATCCGTTTTATGAGTGAAATGTTTTCTGAAAATTAAATCTCATCTACTCAAACACCAAATTTCATGTCTTCTTCAATATCACCTCCCTACCCCCGCTGCTCAAGATTGATGTGATCTAGTTTGGCTGTATGTAATAAATCGGAATCACCTTCTGTGAGATTCCAATACTTAATTGTAGGAATTAATTTTTTAAAACAAAAAAAACCTTTAAGAATTCCTATGCATCTCCTTTCAATCCTATCAACACATGCACGCACGCATGCACACGCACGCACACACACACACACACATACACAATTGAAGCTCAAATTGCAATGAAATGTTTAACATGTAGAACAAAAAAATGTGAAAAGAGCTGCTTATTCAGGATTTTGAAGAAATGCTTAATAAGCAAATACTGTTTTGCTACAAAACCAGTGTCACCATGTCCCCAAAGAGAGGAAAACAGCATAGCTTGCTAGAAAAATTTCCTCCATTTCTTGCTGGCAGGTAAAAACCAGAAAAGCATATCATTTACCATGCTGTATAAAACAAGAAGTCTTTTATTTTTAAGGAAATAGAACAGATTCTTTTCCATTCCTTCTTCAGCTACAAAGAAACCATACCCACCCCCACCCTTACATCCTGGACGTAAGCCAACATTTTTATAAAATGCTTTGAGCCTGATTTTGAACACACAATATTTACGTTTTTCTTCTTCATATCTCTCCAAAAGTCATTCACTGCCTATTGCATCATGAATATGCTAATGTTAGTTAATTTTAACGCGTGCAAAAATAAATTAATATTTTCTGGGGTTGCTAGTTTTCCACCGCCTCTATTTTCTATAAGGACTGGCTGAAAATAATTGAGTTAGCAAAACATTCAAGTTCCCTAGAATTTTTTTAAAAGAGCAAACGTATTCGAACATCTTAACTTAGGTACTAGGTCTCATAACCAGATCTTTTGTTTCTGGTTTTCATTCTGTCTCCTCCCCCAGAATCCAAGTGATTTTCAGCTTAATGTGTGGAAAGTACCCGGCCCAGCTCTATCTCACACATTTTAAAATATCTGAGTTGGGTTGTCCAGAGGGTCGGTCATACCTGCACCACACCGAGTCCTCTTCTCTTTAGAGCACCTCTCTCTCTCCCCAATAACTATTCCAGAAATAAACATGGCTCTAACGGAAACAGTAGCTCCTGGTCTGATACCAATGGTGGAACCATCTCCCCCACCCCCACATGACTGCTCTGTGAGCTCTGGTTAGCATTGACAGCGACAGAAAATTAGAATGGAGTGTCCTTCGGCTAATTCCTCCTTTACCATGGGGCCAGGAATTAGAGACTACCACTCTGAGTCACAAGGTGCCAGTTTAATGTCATGTTATCTGTACGGCAGAGTCCTGAGAGTGGGGTTGGAGGAGGCTAACGCGATCACCTAGGCATTTGGTGCTAATAGTGTTGTTCAGATTCCTCATTAATAATGTGTGGAAGCTAGGCGGTCACGTTAAAATACAAATTACCATTATGTAGGCTGAGTAGTCACGACATGGAATCAACTCTGACCACACAGAACTGAGTCGATGCCTAGTCTTCCTGGGCTATAAATGACAGTGACAAGGACAGTCATCCATATCAGGCTCCCATGAGGTGAGTGCATAGTGTTCTGTCCCCTTTACAAGAGTAGGGTGGTGAATGTGGTCAGGTCCCCTGCTGGTCCCTGGAAGCCAGATGCCGGGGTCAGCGGTTTCCAAACCTCCTTGTGGGGTTGGTTCTCTGTCCGCCCTCTGTCAAAAGGAGCCGAAAAGCCATGTGCTGGTTATTTCGAGATGTTCCAAAACACTCCACAAGCTAACGTGGCCTGTTTACCAAACCTGGTTTGTGTTAAACAAATTTGAACTGTAGCTGGAAGCGCTCAGACAGATGAGCTTGTTTAGGCAGATATTCTCTGACTAGTAAATCCTGTTTTGTACTTCTAAAATGCCATGCTCACGCCTGAATTACGCAAGCTTTGTCACGATTACAAGTGGCAAGGGTATGCATTCCCTTGGGATTTTTAAAAATACGCGCTCCTCATCAATATCCTCAGAGCGTATGCACAGACATTAATGTAAGAGACAAATCACCTTCCCACCATGTAAATGTTAACCTGTTTTTGCCACTTTGATGAGCCCAGCACCAGGAACCCAGAGTGACCTGGCAGGAGCAGGCTGGGGAGCAGAGCCAGCAGTGGGCAGCGTCTTTCCCTTTGACTGAGGCTCTTACGTGCTCACCGTCTCATTGTTCTGCAGTCTGAGCTCATTTTATTTTTAGTCCTGTGAATTAAAATTAAATTGCATGGCTACGCAAAGAACATAATTCAAGTATGAGCCAAGCTTGAGTCTCTATGTTTTAAAAAAGCGTTGTCAGGGCACTGAGTCCCAAAGGAATCCTGGGTTGATAAACATTTGGATCAGTTTGCACATTTCTCACTCCATTCACTGCATTAAAAATTATAGCTGGTTTCTGTTTACACCTAGTATAGAGAGTCAACATTTGTGGGTTTTGTTACCAGGTTAGGCTGTTTTGATCTAAATTTTTAAAAATAAAATATTTACCAAAATATAACATTTTTGCTTAAATTCTTAGAATTTTAAAAGATTTAAAAATGTTTTGCAGTTGGTTATTATATCTGTTTATAGTGTATTTAGCTCTGGAAACAACATGGTTACAATCTCTCAACAGCTGAAAATGCATTTGGATGGTATATTTTAGCCTAAATGTTCTGGAAAGTCCAGTGCTACTTCAATCACCTACATTTTGCCTAGAGATCTGGGCAGAAACTTCTGTTTTCTACCTTGATCAGAGCGACGTCTATAATAGCTACCATTTATTGAGAACCTATTATATACTCAGTATTGTAGCTATATTATTTAATTCTTAACCAATAATCCTGCAAGGTGGATCTTAGTGATCCATTACCTTTAGGTGAGGAACAAATTGAGGTTACTAGTCACACGGTAAATAAGCAGAGTGAGAATTCAAACCTCATTCTGACCAATTCCAAAGTCCGGGTCTTTCTACCAATGCTAACAAGATAAAACCTCGTCCCTCCACATTCTGCCCTGACGTAGGAATCTTTTCACTCTGCAGACTCCCCTCTCAGGAGCCACGACTACCCTTGTTTATTAGAACCAGCTTCAACTCCCAGGTCCTGGGAATTCGGGGTACCTAGGATGCTGGACCAGCAGGCAGAAAAGATAGAATAAAAGAGGAGGCACAAACTAGACCATGTTGGGAAGCTAAGGTTAGAAAGCAGTAACAAAAAAGCAGAAACAATTTTGTTCAGAGGTTTGTCATAATTTGGAAATGTCTTATGAGGCAAAATAAGTGGAAGAGCTTACATTTCCATCTGAGCAAACTACCTCCCCAAGTGAAGTGCAGCCTTTTGTGTTATAGATGGGGAAACTGAGGCTGAGAGAGACCTGGTCCTTTGTCCAAGAGCACACACTTCATACGTGAATTGACCTATTTGCTCTATTAAAAGGCATATGATCAATGAAAGAAAAATCAGTGTAACCATCAGGACTGACCTGGTTTCCACAAATAGTGTTTTGGGTCTGAACAGATAACCTTAAGTTGGTATTATGAGTTCCTTCCCCAATGTATTTTGAAAATGGACTTTTCAAAAACCTAAATTTTGAGTAAGAGATTTTTCTCCATCAGGGTCAATGTCTCATATGCATCATTTTAATGACTGATTCTCTGTCAACATCTGTACATTTTGCCCCTGTTTCTAAGCCCTCCCCCCGGAAAGTTTGTGATTTTTAAAAATCCAGCCCAGTTTGCTTTCTAGGTCAGTTAGGCCAAGAGCTGGATTCTAGGTCTCCTGCCGCCTGGTTACATGGCCAGCTGACTACGTCTCTCATTGGCAGTAACTGTATATGCCAACCAGATGGCTCTCAAAGGGGGCTTTCTAATCAACTCTATCAGCTCCGCCCTGCCTGGGAATACGAGAGGAGGATTATCTTCTTCAATGCTCAGGAGGCAACAGAAGGAAGGGGTGGGTGAACAGATATGC